ATTTATAGTTTAGATTGATCAAGTTTCTTGATTTTAAGTGGATTAAAAAACAGTATTTTGTAATCCAGTAACTATTTGCGTGCAAGTTTTTTTGAGGTATATTTTATATTAAATTAGATTTAAAAATAAATAGATTTAAATACTGAACTCTAAGAATATATAAAAATTTATTTGTCTGGTTTGACTAATTAATTATTAATTAATAAAAGCTGCATTTACCAAGCTAAAATTTGACGTATTTCATTTAACTTAATAGCTCACCGTTTCAGTTTTTAACTTTTTACCAGAATTAGCATATTTAATTTTGAAAGAAGATTTTTGACCGGCGCTCAGTGCGCCAAAGGTAAGCAAAATCTTTCAAAACCAACTTTTATATTAGAGTAATTTTTTTTTGTAAATTTAACCTAGGGACCTCCAGCACTCCATAACTGATATAATTATTTTAAAACTTGATTTTTGAGCTATGTATAGCGATTTTGTTACAAAAATTGCAATACTTTATTTTTTAAATATTAGTGAAAAAGTAAAAAAAACATAAAAATGGAACACGAGGTCAGCAAGACAATTTTACAATATTTTTAATTTCTTAAAGATAAAAATATTAGAGAAATTTTGGGAATTATTTGTTCCTAGACACCAGTCATTGCAATTTTTCTAAGAGTATCATTATTTAACATCTATAAACATACAAATGTTTAGAATTTGCTCGATGTCTGGAAGTTATCTCAAACACCAAAAATGCCTGATCTGTAACTAAAGTAAATATTTATTATTTTTATTTACGTAAAAAGTTTTTATGTAAAAAGAAGAGTTTAGTTTAGAAAAAAGTTAAAATCAGTTTGTTTACGAGAAAAAAGTTTTTTAATTTCTGATTGCGATGAAAGCGAGAAAACTACATCATTAAGTACTTTAAGTTTTAATGTCGTCTAAATAACTCTTCTAAAATACCGTTTTCATTAAGAAAATTGCACTTTATACGTGTCAAATGTATTTTTTTTCATTTAGATAACGCCCATAAAATGGAAAAACAGAAATTTAATTGTAGCAAATAGTCATTTCCTACACTCTAATATTAGTATTTTAGACTAAAGCAATAGAGAGCACTACACAATGAAATTCTCCAGGCATCAAACAAATTATGAACTTATGACAAAAATGCTTTGCAGCTACATTACTAAAGTGTCCGAAATAAATAGGAGTCAAATAATCCAATCAACCTGAAGAGGCCAAGGGGCTCTTGATGTACTAATGTATGATGTATGTCATCATCTAGTTATATATATATATATATATATATATATATATATATATATATATATATATATATATATATATATATATATATATATATATGTGTATATATATATATATATATATATATATATATATATATATATATATATATATATATATATATATAAACCTCTATAAACATGAATCATATGTCTATTTTTAACGCATAAATAGTTTTGCCATTTTGAGACAATTCTGGCCCACTGTGCCTTTTGAGGAAATGCCCATCTCAATTCCTCCAAAAGATGGTATAGATTTCATTGAAACAATTATTTAAAACGATTAAAACGATTATCTTATTTTAGTTGACTAGATTATTTATTTACTAGTTGAGAAGGAAACATCGTAATAGCAGAGCTAATCGAGATGAGTTCCCTTCGTACCAAAGTGCTACTCATACGCTGAGTAGGCGAAGCCGGATTTGAACCTGCAAGTTTGCTGCTACGGCCAATAATTATTTCGAACTTTATAGCAGCGCTTTAACCAACTGAGCTATCTCGGCTCATAGGTGAAGTTGAAGGTGAAGTGGTTAGTAATAAAGGTGCTACTCGTGGCATTCCCGGACCGTCTGCAGATCCTGATTACACATCCGAATGTAGGAGTTCTAAGCCAAAACCTTTAACACAAGAACTACTAAATGAATCTTTTAGAGATCTATCACTGTCTCAGCATTGAGACAATAGGAGAACTATTTACATGAAAAAAATGATCGTATTTGTTACTACCAAAGCGAATTATTTACTTAACAACATATTTTACTGGAGATAGCCTTTTCTGTTATAACCATGATAAACATGGAATGTTCACAGACTTATCTTAGCCGTATGCGGCATCTAACTGGCGTCGCCTCATCAATTTGTCACAGAGAAATCTGAAAGCAGAACAAATGCATAATAGAAATGTAAAGCTATCCATCCTTATTGCTCATTCTGTGCATATAATAATATGTATGTACTGTCAAATACAACAATCATCACTGACACTCTGCGGAGATCTTAAATTTGTAGATATGTTAATGGGTATGCAAACAGGATTTACAAAACTTTGTTATTTCATTTGATTGTGGGATATTTATGTTACAACAAAACACTATAGCAAGCGTAATTGGACGCTAAGATCTACATATGTACAAGAGAAAAGCAGCGTCCCTTATGTCCTTTATTTGATCCGCAAAAGATCTTCCTAACACCTCTACATTAAACTTGGTTTAGTAAAGAATTTTTGTTGAGCAATTAATTCTGGGGCTTTTATTGGATACTGAATTTAAAAAGCCCTTCAGTCGAATGGAATCGGAAGTTTGGCTTCAAAAAAACAGAAGCAAATTTTCTTTGAGATAACAAGTTTTATACATAAAAGGATGGAGTTGCAAAACTCATTGATGCTTTTACAGAAATGGGTTGTCGAATGCCCTTGAAAATGCAGATTCCAGTCTTCCCATCTAAGCTACTTTTCTGAAAACGGTGGTGCAGTGAGTGAGAAACAAGGGGAACGCTTTCACCAAGACATTAGAGCTATGGAAGCTTGTTACCAAAGTTTTTGGAATGAAGGCATGATGGCTGACCATTATTGGATGTTGTTTCGTGAAATTCCAGACCAAAAATTTCTCGGAAACAGTGTTCTTCAATAGGAGGGGAAAGGGGACAAATTGACCCGAAGGGTCAATTTGTCCCCCGGAAGGGGCGCCGGACATTTTTTTTTTTTGTTTTTTTTATAAATAATTAAAAAACATTTAATTGACTGACAATGAGAACTCTGCTTAGTTTTTGTATTTCAGGTTGAAACATTTGTATTCAGAATAAAAATGCACATTAAAAAAAATTATGATTATAATTAATTGTAAACTATTTTTTTCAAAAAATAGGCTTGAGTTGCAATTGAATTAGGCGAAACCGGGCATATTCCGTTAGCCCATGAACAGTTCGATATGCTAGGTTGTGCTCTGTTGCACGGAAGATGCTGCGCTAAGATAATTATAATGGTAACTAATCAAATTTGAAGCAGTCGACACTGATAGCACTGGCAACTTTGTTGGGTAGTGCATTTCATAGGTGAGCAACGCGGTTATTAGAGAAATTAAAGTGAATCAGACATTTAATAGCAATCTCACGGTAAAAGCACTAATTTTTTCAAGTGGTATTTGACTGTTGAAGCAAAGGAGAGAATCATAGCGTCGAAATATATAGGCAAATAAGCCGCCTTTTCTTCACCAGGATCCGGCCGGTTATCAAGTATTTGAGTTTTTGAATCAAGTTTAAACTAGAAGAAATGTCTACTTTAAACCTAGTGGACATTTTTTTTTGCTCAAATTGTTAGTGGAAACGCTGTGGAATACCTAGAAAAACTAAATTCATCAATAATAGTTTAATAGTAAATAATAATTATAATTAATAGTTTAATTATAATTATTATTTACAATTCATATTTTTATAATTATTATGATTATTATTTACAATTATGTTTGCACGTGAAACAACACAAAAGAAAATGGAAACTTTTTTGGCGGTATGGAGCTTATTGGTTGCTACAACCACGTCATTACATCCCATTTGAAAAATGTAAAATGCCATTAACAAAAGTGCTACAGAATGAGTTCCCTTACCTCTTTCCGTTGTCTCAAAATGGTTTCATCGAGAATATGGTGGTGTCATCCAAAGTAAACTGTCGAAAATGGTATTTTTGACAGTTTACTTTGGATGAATCCAAGATGGTATCTTCTTCACCATTATACATCTCACACTAAGCAGATAAACCTTTGTTATTTGTTTTCTTCTCTTGATTGCAAAATTGATGGCAAATCAAAGAACGATTCTTGTTGTTGAAGCTTTTGAGAAGAAGAAAGGAGTTCATATACCTAAGCTTTTTCACCGATGTGATTGCAAGGCATAATGGATCTAATATGTCAGGTGCTTACAAGGAATTTCAAGCCTCAAAACAACAAAACTATTTGGAAGCTTTGTAAGTTCCCTGTAACGGTCTATCATTCGGAAGCGGTCCGTAGCGGACTATCATATCAGCGGTCTATCATTATATTAACTGAAAATTTCAAATCTTTGTACGTATTTTTAGTGCCCATTTAAGCCCTGCCCGATGGAAGACACTCACTGAAGCGACCGGACTTTCGCAACATAGACTTTCTATGACATAATGAAGCTTTCGTATCGATGCAATTAAACCACTTGTTGACAGCATGCTTAAACATGTCATGGAAAACCTGGATCTGAAGATTGTAAAACCTTTTTCTGTTCGATCATGGGGCAGGATTGCATCACTGATATTTTAATTGACTCAACTAAAAAGATTCAGCTAAAAAAAAAATTATTTATGAAAATATCATCAATATTTGGGAAACCAGAAAAACTCGAAAAGTTTATTTTTAGGCCCTTTATTTCTAAGATTTTGTTAATTGAGTTTTGTTTATTGGTTTTAAAGCTAATATTTTGATTCATACGTCAATTTAAATTAATGAACCGTTTCTTATCCAGAGAATTACTTGTAGCGCAGAAATAAAATGTGCTGAATCAGAATTAGGTAGTTGCTGCTTACACAAAACTTTAAAATTTGCAACTTCTTGGTTTGAAAACTTTCGAACCTTTTGTTGAACTTATAAAACAAATATAAAGGTGTGTTGTTTATAGCTATACAATTGAAAAACCATATCATTATATTGGCAATGCACTTTGATAAAATAACAATTTTAGCAATTTTATTGCTAGAAATTCATAACCGAAAATTGATTTTTTGACCACGGCAAATATTAGGTCGGCAAAAAAAAAAAACTAAGTAAAGATGCAGTATTTTTCTCGAGTTTACGTATATAACGTAATCAAAAAATAATTGTAGTATTTCATTTCATGTAAGTAATGCCATGTGTATTTTTGTTTAACTAAATTTTCATTATTGTAAAATTGTTTAAGATACTAAATAGACTCAATGCGTATAAAAATCATGTATTTAATGTAATTAATATATAGTTTTAATAGTTTTAATGACATTATTAAAAAATTTAATATTATGTAATTAATACAGTTATAATATTTGTATAATAAATCTATATTAAAATATATTATATATATATATATATATATATATATATATATATATATATATATATATATATATATATATATATATATATATATATATATATATATATATATATATATATATATATTCATAAAGTTAAGGGTATGTCAAGCAAAATAACGATAAAAATAATCTAAAAAGTTTTTATTTCTTAAAATTGATTCATTCAATTGTACAACTTTTATTTAAAAATGCACTAAAGTTTTAATAAAAGTTGTACAATTAAATAAATCTTTTATACATACATACATACTTACATACATACGTCATACATACAAACACACACACTTACATATGTTGTACAATTGAATAAAGCATACCCTTTACTTTTTTCATTAGTTTACATACATACATAATTGCAAAATGTATTTTTAGTAATATTGCTTTACAAGCAAAGTTTATCATAAATTTTAAATCATTTGCCTAGAAATAACTTAATATTAGAATATTAAAACACATTGTTATACTAAAGTAAACTAATTTTTGAATATAAAAAAACTATATTTTGACAAGACTTTTATTAATAAAACTAAAAAAGGGCTATACGTACCAACATATTAATGCATATATTTTGTTTCTACATTTATCACAAAGTATTTTTCAAGATACCAGATTTCTCAAACATTACAGCACACTCGTTAATTGCTTTTATCTCCATGAACACCACATTTAACTTTTTTTTTTTTCTTAATTAAATGTCTTTGGTTTCCTTTTTTTTAAAGTTTTTTTTTTAAAGTTTTTTTACACATATTTTCCATAGTGAAACTTACTTATGCAAGCAGACCTTTCACGATAAGAGATTTTATTGTTTTTTGGAAGATAAGCGAAAATTTACAAAATTTGAATTTTATAAAACAAGGCTAATTGTCATTCATAAAATTAAAAATTAGTTAATTGGGTAAAAGTTTAAAAAATAAAAAAAGGTTAACAGAAACAACTTTAAAAAAAATAACAATAATAATAATAACTATAATAATAATAATAATAATAATAATAATAATAATAATAATAATAATAATAATAATAATGATAATAATAATAGTAATAAAATCTAGTAGAAAGCCAAGTTGAAGAATAGTCTATAATTAGTTCTAAGCTGACATAAAAGGCTTTATTCTTCGTATGATAATATTAAAACTAAAATATAAAAACAGGTTAGTTTTGGTTTACACATAATAAAACTAAACAAGGATGATAATAAACAGCTAGTATGAGAGGAAATGATTTTGTTAAATTATGAAAGTGGCAAATATTCAATGCTATGCTATTCTTTAGTAGATAAAGATCATTCTTCTTGTTTGAGTATAACTAAGCGAATAAGTATAAGTCATTATTCTTTTCTGTTATTTTAAATGAAAGATTTATAAAAATCATTGCATGGTCAGAACCACTTAAAGGAGAACAAGGAGAAACTAAACACAAGCTAGTGTCAGAGACAAGAATCAAATCAAGGAATTAATATAATTAATTATGGTTGTCTGGATAATGAGTCACAATGTTAACTATCTAAGTAAGAGATTAAGAAATAAAGAAGTTCTGAACTGTAATGCCACCAGGGTCAGTGATATTAGAGTCAAGCAATTCAGTGTGAGGAGCATTAAAGTCACTAATTGACAGCAGGGTAAAGCAAAAGGATATCTCGACTACTCTATATCTTGAACTTTATTTCTGGTCTTGCGCACTCATTTGAGCCAAAATCGTTTCAATATCTTGAATTCTCAATATCTTGAACTTTTTTCCCGGTCTCCTAAGAGTTTGAGATATCAAGTGTTAACTGTATCTGCTAAATTTCAGATTTTTTTTTCAGATTTTAGATAATTCTTTTTTTTAAACTTAATTCAGAAACCTGAGGGGTCAAACAAGTTAAGGTTGCTATTAACTTATTATATAAGTTATTGTTTCTATAATTTTTATTCTTTAAATCTTCATTCAATACTTTTACTCTTAAACTTAAACCTTAGTTACTGCTATATGATGAGGGCTGAAAACTAAGTTGCTGCTATATGATGAGGGCTGAACCTTAGTTGCTGCTATATGATGAGGGCTGAATCCAGAACTTTTTACTTATAAAGCAATTTCTCTGCCACTTGGCTGTTTCATTGTAATCATATTAGCTTTCACACAACCATTTCCATATTTTTGCATAAACATTTTTAAAAAAGAAATTACTTAAAATATTTTTTGTACAAATTTTTTTATTTTGTATGCATTTTTACTCTTTACTCATTTTTTAAGATTAAATTGTTATTGAACCATTTTAGATATTTTTTAACTTCTAGTAGTTATAAAAAGAATAAATTATATGTAACTAATAATTCCTTTTAAAAATGTTTTTGGATGTTTAAGTTCAAAAACTATGACCTTATAAAATATATAACCCCCTCAAATTGAGGTAGATTTAAAAAATTAGGACTTTGTATAGTCATAATTTTTGAACGCCAAGAGTATACTGTATAAAATTTCAAATTTATTGATAAATAATAATTTATGAATAGTAAAAAAAAATATTTTATCAAATTGTTGCTCTCTGGTTTGGGCCAAAAATTTAGGTTTTTTTTGTTACAAGACCCTAACCATTGCAATTTTTTACAAATCATCTCTATTTGACTTAAGTACAAACTTAAATATTAAGAGTTTGTTTGGAGTCAGATATCTGGAAGTTTTCAAACATCAAAAAATGCTAGATACGCAGCTGATAAAGCATATATATATATATATATATATATATATATATATATATATATATATATATATATATATATATATATATATATATATATATATATATATATATATATATATATATATATATATATTTATATATATATATATATTTATTATTTATAAAGCACATAAAGGATGCATTTAGTTTGATTTGCGTAGAATTTATTTTAAAGTTTCTTTTTTTAGATAAAAGTAATAATGCTGGACAATGAACTATCATATGAAGAGACTCTTGCTAGTTTAGAACATCAAGAGTTAACATCTTTTAATGGAATAGCATCAATAGAAGTTTATTCTCAATTGCTGACATTTTATCTTTTGGAGAATGATATCATAAATGCCAAGTTTCTTTGGAAAAGAATCCCTGCACCCTTAAAAGATAATGAAGAATTAAAAAATATTTGGGTCATTGGAAAATATTTGTGGAAAAAAGATTTAGTAAATATATACAGTGCAATATCCAGTTATGAATGGTCTACTTTGATATCACCTTTAATGAAAAAACTTTGTGAAAAACTTCGTGAATCTTCCTTAAAGTTGATATCAAAAGTTTATACAGTTATTAAAGTGGAATCTTTATGTGCTATGCTGGGGGCTCAAGAAGAAGAGGTTTTTACTTTAATTTCATCATTTCCATGGGAAGTTGAGCAAAACTTAATAAAAATTCCACAAAGTACAGAAACTAAAAAGAATATTGAGTGTTCTTCAGAAGACAGTGATAAACTCTTGAAGCGACTCACTGATTATATTATTTTTTATGAAAATTAGTAATTATTTCCTGTTCTCAAAAATACTTTCTACTTTTTCTTGTAAAATTTATTCAATATTTATTTTTGAATTTAAAGGCTGGAAAAAAGTTAATCAGCTGAAAAAAATAATGCAACTTTTTTTTGCATAGCTTACAGACAAACAAAAGTTTATTTAAAGAACTGAAGTTTTTTTAGTATTTTAATTTTCTTTTTCTTTTTTTTTAGTTAATAAATTACATAATTTTATAAACTTTTTTATTTTGCAAATTCATAATAATCATTTTTTAATTTCTTTTTAACCATAAAAAAAGTTGCTATAGAATGTTTGAGATGCTCATATATATATATCTATATATATATATCTATATCTATATATATATATCTATATCTATATATATATATCATATATATATATATATATATATATATATATATATATATATATATATATATATATATATATATATATATATATATATATTTATGTATGTATATATAAATATATATATATATATATGTATGTATATATATATAAATATATATATATATATATATAATATATATAAATATATATATATCTGATATATTTCTCTCTCTCTCTCACTCTCTCTCTCTCTCTCTCTCTCTCTCTCTATATATATATATATATATATATATATATATATATATATATATATATATATATATATATATATATATATATATATATATATATATATATGTATGTATATATATATATATATATATATATATATATATATATATATATATATATATATATATATATATATATATGTATATATGTATATTGTGATATATTTCTCTATAATATACTTATATATATATATATATATATATATATATATATATATATATATATATATATATATATATATATATAAATATATATATATATGTATGTATATATATATATATATATATATATATATATATATATATATATATATATATATATATATATATATGTATATATACAACACACAGAATCAGGAAAAATGAGGTTGGCAATTTTTTGCCAGTTAGGTCAGCATTGCCGAATGTCAATATATATATATATATATATATATATATATATATATATATATATATATATATATATATATATATATATATATATATATATATATATATATATATATATATATATATATATATTTATATATATATATACATACATACATACGCATTTATATATATATATATATATATATATATATATATATATATATATATATATATATATATATAAATATATATACATATATACATATGCATATATTTATACATACGCATATATATATTTATACATATATATATATTTATTCATAGACGTATATATTCATGATAATTTTTTTTTAAACTTAAGGAATTTCTAAAATGGTAATAGAATTCTCTTCTAATGCTGTTACACCACCAATGCATATATATATGGGAAGAGATAAACATGAAAATGAGGAACTTATTAGATGGGGATGGCCAGAAGATGTATGGTTTCATGTAGACAAGCTTTCATCAGCCCACATATATTTACGATTAACTCCAGGAATGACTATAGACACTATACCGGAAGAAGTCCTTAATGATTGCATTCAACTGACAAAAGCAAACAGTATTCAGGGTAGTAAGCAAAATCATGTAAATATTGTGTATACACCTTGGTCTAATTTAAAAAAAACAGGAAGTATGGATGTGGGTCAAGTAGGATTTCACAATGACAAAGATGTTCGCTATGCTATGGTAGAAAAAAAATGCAATGAAATTATAAATCGACTAAATAAAACAAAAGTAGAAAGAGAAATAAATTATAGATTGCTTAGAGAAGATAGGGACAGAGAAGAGCGTACAAAAGAACGTGCAAAACAACTAGAAGAAAAAGCGCTTAATAAGTTGAAAGAGGAGCAAAAAAGAGAGCGAGAAAACCTTACTAGCTATGCATCGCTTATGGACGAGAACAATATGAGATCAAACATTGATGATCCAATAGATGAAGATGATTTTATGTAACGTTTTTGTTGCTAAGAATATAAATTACATTATCTCTATATCTTATTACTTTATTACTTCTATATCTTCTATATTTTATAATTTCTATATTTTCATGATGATTTTAGTAGGAAAATATTTTGAATACTACAGAAAAAAAAAAAAAATTATTAATTACTTATATTATTAGTAATAGCTCATTTTACACTATTTCTTTGGTTTTTATAACATATTTTTCTATGCGTTTATATAACAGAATAGCATGATTTTAACAATTTTTTTCATTTGCAAATTTTAAATTTTGTTTTAAATTAACTCATTTTCTCAGCGCTCCTATGTTGCTTGTATGCAATTTATTTTGTGTTGCTTATAAGTTCTCGATTGTACTACCGTTGTTAAAAAAGTCTACAACAAAATTTGAAAATTCTAAATTAAACTGGAAATTATTTTAATTTAAATTTCACATTTTAAATTTAATCAACTTAAATTTATTAACCAGTGCGCAATAAACCTGAGCATACCAAATTTTAGCTAAAATTATAAAGAAACTTTAAATAGACACAAAAATATTAAATAGACACTAAATTATGGAAATTTACTTTTAAGGTCAAAATTAGATTTCAAGAACTTAAACGGCGTGTTATCTCCCTATTGCTTTGGAGAGGTTAACTTGGACGTTTTGTTCATGCAACTTTTAAATCAAGGTATTTAAATGAGTTGAGCAGTAATTTTGATTAATAACAAAACTACATACTGCAAATAATCCAGCATATTAATGCATCTAAATAAAAGTAGCAAAATTAGTAGGATGAAAGTACAAAAGTCACTAAAATTAATGCTTTTTCGTACTTTATTTGACGCAAGAACTTTTTAAATAAACGCATATGATAGAAAATAAATGCACACGAAATAAATATGAAAATAAAAAGACTACTAGAAAATGGTACTTATCAATTTTTATTTAGAACTAAGCAATAATATTAAAACATTATAAGATCAAATGTTTTAGAGAAATTGTTGTTTTTTTTATGATTTTTTTGATGACATTTGGGCAGGATTGAAAAGTTTTTTTTTTCAAATTGAATGGCCTTAATAAATTAAATTGGAAATTAATAAAAACGTTTAGAAGGGGGCAATGATAACTATCATGCTACCTATAAAGACCTATTTAGTTAAAGATATTGCATGTGATACATCAATTTTTTTTTATCATAGCAATAAAACTTGTGTTACGAAAGCAACCTATCGTTTCTTCCATGACACATGTTTTAAATGCCTATAACTAAATATTTATGATTCTACTAACATTGTTATTTCTCAAATTTAAATAGATATTTATAGGTAGTTTGTTGAATATTTTGGTCCCCTTCTATACGTTTTCTTTTTTTGAATTTCCAATTTCTGCAGCGGATCCTTGCACTTCTTTTTTTGAATTTCAGGATAGTGTGGCACATTTTGCGATTTGAAAGAATGAGAGGATTGGATGTTAAAGCTGTTGACAATTTTTTTAGCAAGTTTACATCTTGAAAATCCTTCTTCCATTACCAGATTTGCTCTGGATGCCAGATGGGTCCCATTCACTTGAATTGGCATGGGGCTTCCGTAAATGGTTTACGGCTGTTTTGAAGATGGGAAGCGTGGTTTAATGGTAGCGTATTTTCTAATAAAAGCAGTTTTTTTGGCATCGCTTTTAATAAAGAGTTTTGTTGAAATAAAATTACAAAGCTTTTTTAAAATGTCATATGCAGTAACGCAGCTTAATTTACATTGAATATTAGAAGTAAATATACACAGGAACTTCATTTGGTTTTTTTATAGTAATTTTGTAAAAAATATTTACATATCAGTTTTAATTCTATAAGTGTAAATATGTTAAATTATACAATAAAAGTGTAAATTTGTTAAAATCAATATTTATTCATCTATTTACAAAACGATTTCAAACACAAAAAGAAGAAAATATGAAATACCCAACATTTGAGAAATTAAAGTTTAGACTGAATTTCTGAGCTCAGGGCCGCCGTGAGGGGGGGTCTACTGGGTTGTTTTGTCCCGGGCGCCAGGTCGACAGGTGCGCACTAAGCCGAATATAAATAATTTTTTTTTTCATGTTTATTTAAAAAAAAGATGAAGTACTGGGAAGCAGCGTGGAAAATAAGAAATCAAAAGCAGCCGGTCAATTTGACCAGCTAAAACATATAATAGACGGTCAATTGCTTTTTTTAGCCGGTCAATTTTTTTTAGTTTAAATTTTCAACTTTGTAATGAAGTGCTTCATAATTGGACTTTTTAAATAAAAAAAGAAATTAATGCTTTAAAACTAAGAAATTAGCATTACTTTCAAAACATTAGTTTTAAATAAAGCGATTCTTTTTATATAGCGGAAACTCGCAAATAAAGTGAATACTAATGATTAATTTAACAACCCGCTGAACTTCAGCGGCTGAAGTAAATGTTTAAAATAACTTTAGTGCACGGAGATTTTCTTTCAATTAAAAACGGAGATTTTTTACTTTATTAAAAAAAGAGATTAGATTAAATCCAAGTAGTTTGATATTAATATAAAATATTAAAACAATTTTATTAAATTTATTTCTCTAATTTTTAAAATCTCTCAAATTTGAAACAATTTTGAAACACGTGAAAATATACACGTTTGTGCTGTGTTCTACAATAAATAACTCATTTAAAAAGTCAGATACTGCATATTTATCGTGTATATCATCACTTCTTAATGTAAGTATAAACAATTTGAGAATTTAGAATAACTTTGGCATCATAAAACAGTAAATAACGGGTTTTTTATCGATGTGATAGTCTGATAGACCCAATCAAGAAGAAATTCAAACAGTTCTTTGCTTATGAGCGGATGCTGTTTCAAAAAGAATTAAAACATGTCTGGTTTTAAAAAGAAAGATTCTGGTTGTCAAGTAAGAAAGAATGCTGCTCAAAGAACTGCGAATGAGGAAAAGAACAAACGCACTCTTCAAGACTGTGGTATTACAGTTACAAAAAAAGGAGAAGATGAAAGTCCTACTGCTTCAAACTCTTCCCTGCCAAGTCAATCGATTCAAGTAGTAAATAGTTTTCCCCGTGAAAGGATATTTTCCCATTTGATTAATTCAATGTTATATAAATTTTTAACTTATTTTTATAGGTTGGAACTGAAACGATGTCACTAACATTTCTGAAAGCTCGGGAGAGCCCCTATCAAAAATCGGAATAGTAGCTGTGAATGAAGAGAATATTTTGGTAAGTTCTACCTCTTTAAAAGAAATGATGTTAATAAACTTTTAAGCTAATAAAATAAGATTTTTTAAAATTTATTCTCAGGTGTTCCTTCCAATGATCCTGCTTTGTGGGCAGCACATCTTTCCAAAGTGGAAAGAGATTCTGTGCTTCTACAGGGGCTTCCTCGAAATCCTTCAGCTTTCCCAAAAGATTCTAATAAGAAGAAGGTTCCTTAATCAATTTTCTACGAAACTTCTCTCAACGGGGAGAAGACATGCCGAGATTGGCTGGTCTGGAGTGTATCTAAGAAATCATTTATTTGCTTTCCGTGTTCTCTGTTTGGAAGCTAACAATCTTTTGGGATCGGACACCAGTCGCACCTTCTAAGATGGAATGATGGAATAAGCTGCAACTGGCACAAGCTACCTGAGAAAGTCAAAAGTCACCAAATGGAAAACGGCGCTAGAAAGCTTTGAAAATCAAAGCGGAATAGATGCAGCTCTTGAAAACTCGATAAGAAAAATGAAGCAGCCAGGTGGCATGAAATTCTACGATGCATCTTAGATGTTACTCTTTTTTTAGCGTCACGAAACCTTAGTTTAGAGGTAAATCTATTTATCATTATTCTATTGTGATATCAACTATCTTTAAATCTATTTAGCTTATATTTATTAGATTAACTAGATATTTTGGAAATCATTAAATAAAACAAATCCTTCTTTATTCTTTTAGATAAATATGTTATAATATTCATAAATCATAATATAAAATCATCATAGAATCATCGTAAAATAAAACAAATGCTTCTTTATTGTTTTAAATAAATCTGTTTTATTATTATAATTTTTAGGTTCATCAAAAATGATTGGAGATGACGACAATGGCAACTTTCTAGCTACCCTAGAGCTCTTGGCTAAGCACAACAAGACTCTCCAACTACACTTAGAAGAAGTTTCCTGCTGCCAACAAGAAGGTCACAAAATGAATGCCCATTACTTGGGTTGGAGCACTCAAAATGAATTCATCAAAGAGTGCGGAGGAATCGTTCACGGTGCCATCATCAACGAAGCTCATATGGCCATCTACTATTCTATTCTTGTGGACGGGACTCCGGACGTCTCTCACACCGAGCAAATCACCTTTGTTCTCCGCTTTGTATACTTTGGTACTGACAAAAGATGGACCGTAAAGGAGCGCTTTCTGAAGGTCAAGAATCTTCAAAAAAAGATAGGTGCTGACATTGCCAAGCTTATTATAGACGTTTTAGAACAAAATGGAATCGACCTCAAAAACTGCAGAGGTCAAGGATATGACAATGGAGCGAACATGTCCGGTATATACAAAGGAGTACAGGCAATTATACTGCAAAAAAATCCTCAAGCTCTCTATATGCCATGCAGCGCTCATAGTCTCAACCTTGCTGGTGTTCATTCTGCTGAATCTTCGGTTGAAGTCAAGAACTACTTTGGCTGAGTCCAGTCACTTTACAATCTTTTCAGTGGAAGCCCTAGTCGGTGGAAAGTCTTGATTGAAACCACTGGTTTGTTCCTTCATCAAACGTCGCAAACCAGATGGAGTGCGCGAATCGAGGCCGTGAAGCCGTTAGTCAAGCGACCCAGGGAAATCCTCGAATCTTTGAAAAAGCTCCGCGATTTTGATCTAACAGCTGATCAATTGAATGAAGTAAAATCTCTGGAGAAGTGGGTTCATTCATTCGAGTTCATCTTAATGACAACCTTTTGGTATAAAACTTTTTAATCAATCAACTACGTGAGCCTTGCACTCCAATCAGAAAATATCTCTTTGGACGACGAAATGAAACTCATTA